ATATATATATATATATATATATATAATATACGCAAAGTTAGACTTCTAGAATAAGCTAATGCATTAATGTATCATACCCGTTATTTATAAAAATAGAAGGAAAAAAAAGAAAAGAAGAGAGACTACTGGATAAAGATATGTTTTGAAAAAATAATTAATATAAATATATTGTAGATTGATTATTTTAAAATTAATCGATTTAAACTTGTAATTTAGTTATTTTTATAAAACAAAGGACTGTAAAAAACAACTTTTTTGTCCCGTGGATCAAAGCACTGGTTAATAAATTTACAAATAACTTTTTAGTAAATATTATATATATTGAAGTTACTTTGAAAGTTATATAAGAAAATACACTATTACTTTTTGCAACAATTTTTTTTAATTCTTTAACCAATATCATTAATGAGCACTTTTCTTTAACCATTCTAATAAAATAAATTATATTAGTAAAAAAGAATTATAAAATTTAATACACTATTATTTCAAATTTTATTATAAAACTCAAATAACTAATTCATCAGAATTTAAAAAAAAACAATTTTATTAGTTAAAATCAATAAATATCTTAAATTTATTATTTTTTAAAACACTCCTAAATTAATAATATATTTAATATATGTTTACAATAAATTTTATTCTAAAACAAGACTATTTATATTCCATTTAAATAAATTTCACATACATTTTTAACTTAATAAAAACATTTAATATAAAGATACTTTTGTAAAGAATAAATATATAAATTGCCTAGAATATAATGTATTACTATTGAGTCATATAAAATGTTAAATTAATTTAAAATTTTGAATTCTGTAATAAATACTGGGGTAGCTTTTTTTTAAAAAAAATTTATCTAAATAATTAACGTAATAAAAAAAATCATAAATTTAATATTGAAAAAAAAATGTTAAACACGTGGTTCTAGAAGGGAGTTGAAACTACGATATATAGGACAATGAGCACTGACTATAGAGTATTGAAACTTGGAAGAGTTACAAATTAGCACTCCACCTTGTTTTTCGCATTAAATTTCGTCCACGCGTAGAGTACCTATTAACTAGTATAGTATTTCCAACCATCGCCCTTGACCGTGCCACAATGTTTAACCACCCGAGAGCTATATATATTCATATTCAAAGTTCAAGTTATATTTAATTATTCTATTTTAATTATGCTTCAACACTTATTAAGTTTTTAATCAATTCACATATTTATTGTAAAGTAAAAACGAAAAATGAATAAATATATAAAAAAAACTATTTTATAAAGTAAAAAAATATTTATTACATGTATTGATATGCGTATAATTTTTTTAAAAAATAATTATTAAAAAGAAATGAAGATAATATTTAATTTAAAATTACATTTTTTTTATTTAACCAAACCAAACTTCATCACAAACATTACCGGAGATTATTTAAAACTGAACTAAACTTTTGCAAAATACTAAATTGATCCAAATAAAATTAAAATTAGTGACATCTCTTTAAGAAGAAGAAAAAAAAAAGACATTGAAAACTTTAAATTAGAAACACACTCACCCACTTGAATAAATTATTTCTAAGACACAAATTTTATGAGTCTCACACTCTATTTAATAGTTTTTTAATTTTATAATTTTATAATAAATTTAAGTTTATGAAAATAAACATGCTAAATAAATGTGTTAAAGAGTGAATTATTATTATTATTTTTATTTGTAAAAAACAATGTAATTGAAGTAACAAGTTAGAGTGAATATACTTAAAAATGCAAGAAGGTAATTTTGAATTTATTAAAATGAACATAGTTAATTATGTTTACACTTGATTGAAAACTAAAATTTGGAAGGAAGTATACTCTTGAACATGTAAGGATAAAGTTTAATTTGAAGAAAATTTGATAAAATATGAATTGTAATATTTGAATAACTAGTTAGAGGAGTTGTTTCGTTGAGTAAGAATGGAAGAAAAGGTGTAATTAAAGAGTGAATGCGAAAATGAAATGGTTGTATTTGTAGTATTACATTGACCAAACAAAGCAAGATATATCCGTTTTGGACGGAAGCTTCATAGGCTAGTCCTAAGCTGGGTAAGTATAAGTTAAAGCACGTTTGGCATCGCCATTCTCTGATAACACTGCCTAAGGTCAGAGCCTCAGAGGTGGTGCTGGATCCCACCATCTCACTCCAAAATGAACAAACCCCTATTCCTCCTCCTAATCGTCCTAATCGGCGCGGCCCAGGCCCAGGCCCAGGCCCAGCCCCAGCCCCAGCCCAACAACGACGCTCCCGTCCAAAACCTAAACCAGTTCAACCCATCCCTCGCCGTAGTCATCATCATACTCGTCGCCGCCCTTTTCCTCGTCGCCTTCTTCTCCATCTACATCCGCCACTGCGCCGATTCCTCCCCCAACTCCCTGGGCCCGGCCGCCGCCGCCGCCGCCGCACGCGCCAGGAGAGCGGCGCGTGGGCTGGACCCCGAACTCATCGAAACTTTCCCCATCCTGGAATACTCGGAAGTGAAGATCCACAAAATCGGAAAAGAAGCGCTGGAGTGCGCCGTCTGCCTCTGCGAGTTCGAGGACACCGAAACGCTGCGTTTGATTCCAAAGTGCGACCACGTCTTCCACCCTGAATGCATCGACGAGTGGCTCAAATCGCACACCACGTGTCCCGTCTGCAGAGCCGACCTCGCTCCGGCCGAACCTCACGACGCCAACGCCAACGCCAACGCCAACGCTATCGATATTCCAGATCCCGATGCGCCAGACTTGGAAGCGCAAAACGACGCCGTTGAGACCGCTCCAGAGCGGCAGAACGCCGAGGCTGAAAGAGTACTGCCTGAACCTGAAGTCGTTTCCCTGGACAAGACGCTGAACCGGAACCGGACGCGAGGCTCGCGGTCGAACCGGACGCGGCGGTTTCCGCGGTCGCACTCGACCGGTCACTCGCTGGTCCAACCCGGGGAGAACACGGAGGGGTTCACTCTGTGACTTCCGGTTGGCGTGA